TTTCCATGGCAACAGGCCTGGGAAGACAGGCAGGCGTGGAACTGAGCCAGGTGGCCGTGGTAAACAACGGGAAGAGTCTTATCAAGTCTCGGCGAGTATGGCAGTGTTTGAAGACGGCCGAGTGGAAAATTCCGAGATGGCCTTTGTAATAGACTCTGCAGCTAACCGCAACATGGTTCCAGAGACCCCTGCAGTCGAGAGGTGGAATTGCACGGCAGTTCCGAAGGGACAGACTATTAAGTTTGCAAATGGACAGAAAACTAGAGTTTCCTCGTGTACTAATGCCTATCTTTCTGTTTTACAGGAGACGGTGAATTTATGTATTGTTCCAGAGATTCAACATTGTTTGTTATCTGTGCCTTATTTGTTAAGTAAGGGGTTCAAAATTTGTTTTGAAAACGATGTCTGCACGATCTCCAAAGGGGGGAGGTTACTGGCCAAAGTGCGGAAGGGACAGAATGATCTTTTCATTCTTAAAACGTCTCTTGGAGGTGAGGGGAAGGTTGAGAAAGCACAAGCGTTGCGTGCTACAGTTCCCAACCAGCGTGCTACAATTCCCGCTCATAATGTTACATGTGCATGCGTATGGCATCAGAGAACGATTCACAATCCTTTAGAGGATTTGCAGGTGTTACCTGAGGTTGTTACAGGTTGTAAGATTAAAAATTGTCAAAGTGCCATTAATTGTGACACTTGCAAGCTAGCAAAGGTAAAAGGATGCAGTTACCCAAAGGTGGAACGTGTAGCCACTAAACCTTTTGAGCTGGTGCACATAGATTTGTCCGGTCCTGTCAAGGCACCAAGTCTAGGGGGGGCCAGGTTTCTGCTCGTTTTTCTGGATGATTTCTCGCAGAATTCCTGGGCTCACGGTCTTAAATCCAGGGAGGATGCAGCACGGCTGATCAAGAGCTGGATTGAAGGGGTGGAACAGAGGTTCTCCACCAGGGTTCAAGCTATCATCAGTGACAGAAATGCTAAGTACACTGGTTCTGCTTTGCAGGAGTTCTTTCACAAGAAAGGGATACGACACACAGTTATTTCACCCCAGCAAAGTGGGGTGGCAGAGCTGCGAAGTGGAGCTCTAGTTCAGGCTGCACAGGTGTTGCTGAAAGATTCTGAGTTACCTCCAAGGTTTTGGCTGGAGGCAATCAAGTATGTGAGCTTCACCTGGAATCGTGTCTATAACTCATTGGTAGGTGACACACCGTTTTCTTTGTTAAATGGCCGAAAACCCCAGGTTCACTTTCTGCGGACGTTTGGGACCCCTGCGCTTGTCTCTGTGCCTGAGGCTTTGCGAGGGCCAGATGGAGCCAAAGTCCAGAAAATGATCTTCTGTGGGTATGAGCCAGAAGCCCGTGCATGGAGGTTCGCATTTCCATCAGGTGATCAGAGTAAATTACTGATCAGTAAACACGCTGAGTTCTTTGAGCAGAGTGAGAAGCCAAAGATTGTTTTCCAGCGTGATCTTCTCTCAGATTGTCTCTCTGACCCAGAGGACAGTTGTGATGAGGAGGAAGGAGAGGCTGAGCCTGCTGATGAGGACCAGGTCCAGGATCAGGGTTCAGAATCCGATGATGATGATCAGTTCACTGACCAAAGTCAGGAGCAAAGTCAGGAACAGGAGGAGGTATCTGTAGTTTCTCCACAAGATGTTAAGAGAGCACCCAAAAGCGAGCCTAGTTCTCCTGTGAGTGTGATGGAAAGGATTCGAAAACGCTTTAAGTCGGAAGGGGAATCCCGTGATGCAGAGGTCACACCTGCTGGTGACGGTGAGCCAGAGGAAACATCTGTGTTTGTGCCTAGGAGGTCCAGTCGCACAACAAAGGGTATTCCGCCAGAGAGGTATCAGGCCACAGGTGCGTGGGCAAATTTCGCACAGTGCGTTTCTGAGAGTTGTGAGGTGGTTCCACAAATGCCAAACAGGTCTGCCAAGGGAGGGCGCAAGGCATTGGGGAAGGAATTGATCTCACAAGGTATTACTGAAGATGTTGCACAGGTATCACGCAGGGACACAAGGGGGGGTGTTATAGTTCAGAATTTATCTGGTTAAATTCCCTGGTGTGTGTCACCTGCTGACGTCAGCTTACAGCTGGGCGGAGACAGAAGCTTTAGAAGCTGGGCGGGACTATTCCCTGTTTGTTTCAGTCCCACTCTGTGTTCCGTGGGGAAAAGACGTAAGTCTGGCATGGCTGCAAATAGTCCTGGAAATTCCTGAGAAATGTTGGAATAAAAGCTGTAAATAGACGAACCTGTCTATGTGTGTTTGTCTGGAAGCTGAACCAAGCAACGTGACAGTTCTACACCGCTGTGCGGAAACTCTGCTGAGTCGTGACGGAGAGGCGCTGCAGAAGTGTGCCGGGCGGCCATATATCGCTAATCGAGGTTCGTAAATCAATTAGCGGGAGTCACGGCTAACTACCAAATGTCACAGGACCCTCGTACCTACAGGACCGCCTCTCCTGGTATGCCCCACAGAGGAACTTACGGTCTTCAAATAAAAACATCTTGAAGGTCCCAGGCCACAGAGAGGTTAGGCTGGCCTCAACTAGAGCCAGAGCTTTTTCGGCTGCGGCTCCAACCTGGTGGAACGCCCTGTCGCAAGAGACAAGGGCCCTGCAGGACTTGACATCTTTTCGCAGGGCCTGTAAGACAGAGCTGTTCCACCAGGCCTTTGGTCAGGGCGCAGCCTGACTCCCTCCTTTGGCAATCTCTACAAAGCTTTAGTCTATGGTTGCCATCAATTTGTATTTTAATTAATTTTTAGAATGTATTTATAATGTTGTACTGTTTTAGTGTTGTTAGCCGCCCTGAGCCCGGCTTCGGCTGGGGAGGGCGGGATATAAATAAAATTTATTATTATTATTATTTATTATTAACCCGAGGTACTATTTCTGGGTTATGGAGCGTATGTAACCCAAGGTACCACTGTACAGTCATACCTCGGGTTGAATGTGCTTCAGGTTGAGCGCTTTCAGCTTGTGCTCCGCAGCAACCCGAAAGTAACGGAGCTCGTTACTTCCGGGTTTCGCCGCTTGTGCATGCGCAGACGCTCAAAATGACATCACGCGCCTGCGCAGAAGTGGCAAGATGTGACACGCACAGATGCGCCGTCGCGTCTTACGTTCCATTCAGGATGCGAACGGGGCTCCAGAACGGATCCCGTTCGCATCCCAAGGTACCACTGTACTCTATTCTGTGGGAAAATGAACTTATAAATTGAAAGTGTGATGCTGGTGGTCAACAAAAGAGGTTTAAAGACTCTCAAGGCAAATCCAAAAAAATGTAGCATAAACACCAACAACTCAGAAACACTTGCCTGTGAGAGCTCCAATTGGAGAACAGCCTTTACCAAAGGTGTCATGGGCTTTGAAGACACTCGAACTCAGAACGAAAGGGAGAAGTCTGCGAACAGAAGGAGGAGGAGTATCAGGAAGAGTGGATTAAATTTAATGATTACTTAGTTAAATATGTTAAGTTAAATTAAATGAAAACAGCTTTCAGATACTTAATTGGCTTAGGATTTTATTTATGTTAAGTGATGAATTAATATGTTTAATTTCATAATGTGAAGATCTAAGGATGTTAATGTTTAAGTTAAATTTTATAAGAACTGTGATTTAGAAAACCGTTAAAAGGATATGGAATGAAATTCAACCATGGGGAAGCGGGTAAGTACTTAACAAAGTTAATAAGTGTAATTTTCAATAAGGCTATGATTTATGTTTGTTTGTCTTGTGTGTGTGTGTGTGTGTTTGTTTGTTTGTTTGTTTATAATATTGTGAAAACCAATAAAAAATTTTGAAAAAAGAAACCAACAACCGTGTTCACGGAAGACAATCTTACTTGCCTTCGAGGGATCGCTAAAGAAGGAAAGAAGAGGGAGGGTGGCTAACACCCCAGAGGACAGGATCACACTTCAAAACGATCTTGACAGATTAGAGAACTGGGCCAAAACAAACAAGATGAACTTTAACAGGGAGAAATGTAAAGTATTGCACTTGGGCAAAAAAAATGAGAGGCACAAATACAAGATGGGTGACACCTGGCTTGAGAGCAGTACATGTGAAAAGGATCTAGGAGTCTTGGTTGACATGAGCCAACAGTGTGACGCAGCATCTAAAAAAGCCAATGCAATTCTGGGCTGCATCAATAGGAGTATAGCATCTAGATCAAGGGAAGTAATAGTGCCACTGTATTCTGCTCTGGTCAGACCTCACCTGGAGTACTGTGTCCAGTTCTGGGCACCACAGTTCAAGAAGGACACTGACAAACTGGAACGTGTCCAGAGGAGGGCAACCAAAATGGTCAAAGGCCTGGAAACGATGCCTTATGAGGAACGGCTAAGGGAGCTGGGCATGTTTAGCCTGGAGAAGAGGAGGTTAAGGGGTGATATGATAGCCATGTTCAAATATATAAAAGGATGTCATATAGGGGAGGGATAAAGGTTGTTTTCTGCTGCTCCAGAGAAGCGGACACGGAGCAATGGATCCAAACTACAAGAAAGAAGATTCCACCTAAACATTAGGAAGAACTTCCTGACAGTAAGAGCTGTTCGACAGTGGAATTTGCTGCCAAGGAGTGTGGTGGAGTCTCCTGCTTTGGAGGTCTTTAAGCAGAGGCTTGACAACCATATGTCAGGAGTGCTCTGATGGTGTTTCCTGCTTGGCAGGGGGTTGGACTCGATGGCCCTTGTGGTCTCTTCCAACTCTATGATTCTATGATTCTAAGAGAAGAGGATCCAGCCCCGCCCCCTGCATCACACGGGGTTGGACTAGATGACCCTCGGGTTCCCTCCCTGGATTCTCCGAAACCCAGCGGCGTTTTTCTCTAACTGGGAAGCCCCGAGGCCTCTTCCTTGCCGCCGTCGCCTCACACTTCCCCTCCTGGAAGTAGCCCGGTGTGAGGCCTAGGCCGCCCCTGCCTCGCGGCGCCTGTGCCCGCCTTGGACGCGCGGCCGCCGCCGCTGCCGCTCCTCCCGAGCTGCAGTCCCGGGACCGGCCTTGGAGAGGCGCTGCGTCCCCGGCTTCGAGGCCTAGCAAGCCCGCGAGCCTGTGGATCCCTACGCGACTCGCGCCTGGCCGAGAGCAGCGCGGGCACGGAGACGAAAGGGTCGGAGGCGGCCGCCGCGGCCGTGAGGTAAAATCGAGCGCGGGGGTCTGAGGGGGGAAAAAAACAGGCCGCTCGCCTCCCTCGGCCGCCGGACACCTCGGCCGCCTTCCTCGGGCCTCATTCCGTCCCCTTTGGAGGCCGGCCGGGGAAATGCCTCGACGACGAGCGGGGCTCACGGCTTCTCCTCAGCCCCCTTCCCTTTGTCTCGCCTTTGCCCCCCCTTTTCCCAGCGGCGGGAGCGGGGCTTGCTCCGGAACTCATGGCCTCTGAGCGTGTGCAGAGTGCCATCGCTTTTCGCCTCGCCGCTCCTCGGCCCCGCGGCTTCCTCCTTTTTGCTGGAAGGGAAATGTTCGCGGGGATGTGGCAAGGGAGGCTGTCTGTGTCTCTTTTCCACGGAGAGGTGTCTGTTTTGTTGGTTTGTTTTGCATTCTCATTTATTTATTTTTAGATTTGAAGGTGTGCGAATACTTCAGAGGCTCATCTTCAGAGTTTTCTGCCGGCCCCTAGTCTTTCATAGACCGAGCTCGACCATGATAAAACCAGCAGATACATTTTCGGGATCTGGATTTTAGCAGAGATCAAGCGCCTCTTCCTTAATTGCTTGTCAGTGTAAAGGGAGGTGTATAAAAAGCTGGAAACATGGCTGCAATGAAAGGAAAAAAATCATTCCAAGAGTTGCTACGTTCTGTTGCCTTGACTATCTATTTTTGGGGTTTTTTGCAAGTGTACAGAACTCCAAAAGTTCTTACAACTACCTAATTACAGTATAAGGCATTTTTAAATTTAATTGCTAGAACTGTAGTACAAGGAAAACAAAACGCAAAGAGTGCCCGACTAGTATTTCTCTCTCACATTATTATTTTGTTTAAATTTTGAGAAACATGTAGTAAGCTTTAAAGCACTTTTCAAGTTTATTTATTACGGAAATACTTTCATTTGTATGCAGCTTTTCCATTTAAATATGCTCAGAGCTCACAACAGAACATAAATTCCAATCAATAAATCCTTACAATAACGATTAATTACTAAATCATTTCAAAAACTACCCAGCCAGATGGGTGGGGTATAAATATTGAAATATTAATATTCATTATTAAATAATTTTATTATATGAACATTATATAACATTTAAAAAATCACCCTAAAAGCATATTAATTAATGACTAATCAGTGCAATTGTAAGTGCACAGTTTGTAACAGCTTAAAATAAGCACATGCTCATCCTGAGTTTCAGCAGAAAGCAAAACAACCCCCAACCAAAAAAGATGTGGTTTCCGGTTATTTAATATGTGGAGGCAACAAATGACCTTTTAAAAACAAGTGACACATTTAAGACCAGGTTTTAATTTTGTTGCCAGACAGGTTGGGTAGATAACCATGTTGCAATTAAAACACTCAAGTCCTCAGATGATTCATGTAGCTGACTTGTAAAGATGGAGAAGAGGAGCCCTACTTTAAATTGTTTTGCCTTTTTAAAAAGTTTCTCCCCCCCCCCCCCTGGTGCTAGCTTGGGTAATAATTTTTAGGAGGGGTAGTTGAACACTTAGTCATGTAAACATGCAAAAGTTCCCTTCTCATTGTTTTTTAAAAGTAAGTTTTGAATAATCTGTTCCTCTTCCCCAAACGTCTTAAGAGGTAGCCATAATCTATTGCGTAAATAAGCCATTGTAAAACAAGAGTCATTTGATTAATGTTACATAGTTATAAATCAGTGAAACATTTATGTGTTTTTTTGTAGGGGAAACACTCTTGGGCAATAGATACATCTGTGGAAAACATGGTAATTTTATGACATGCTCTTAAAGTTATATTTTCCAGGTTTGTATTCACAGATACTTTGTGTGCTTTTGTTAAGCTGCCATGCTTGATGAAAAGTTCATAATAGGTTTTTCTGCTAGGAAAGCAGCAATGAGTGAGAATGTTTTACACGGATTACTTAGTGAGTTCTGTTGGTGTTAAAACAAACCTGTATAAGTGGGCTCAAGGGTAAAACTCTGAACTCTTAATTTGTTGCACTTATGCATGAGTCATCATAATCTGTTAAACAGACACCTCTCTACAAGTAGATTCACTGATTATTTAATTTAACAAGTTTTAGTCTGCCTTTCAGGGCTCTCACAAGGTAGTTTACAGAATCCTAAAATTCATAAAAAATACAAATATGAAAAACAGAAAAATTAGCAGTAGCTAAATATTTTTTTCCAGGTGCAGCACAATTCACAGTCACACTTTTTTTTCAGTTGCAGCACAATGCAGGGTTAAATTAAAGTGTCATCAGGGTTGTTCAAGGCCACCCATGATAAGGCTATGTGTATTTGTCTGCAAAGGGTGTTCAAAAGGTGTGGAGCTACTATTAAGAAACCCCTGTCCCAGGGAATTGCTTGCCTAATGGTTCTGACTGGTGGATTAGACAGGCTTATGCATGTGTAGGTTATCCTTCAAATAACGTGGTCTCGAGCCATGTGGTCTCGAGTCGTGTCCGACTCTTCGTGACCCCATGGACCAGAGCACGCCAGGCACTCCTGTCTTCCACTGCCTCCTGCAGTTTGGTCGAGCCATACAGGGTTTTAACATTCAAAGCCTTTAATTGGACCCAGAAATGATTAGGCTGCTTGTGTAATCTGAGTGCCCAGATCACAAAAGTGTTCTAGCCGCTGCAGTTCTCATGTCCCTCCAAAATGCCACATGTCAGAGGAAATGTTGAGTCTGAAATAGCAGTTTCAGCTCGATGGAAGGACTGAATGCCATTGCAATAAGGTATATTCTTGAATGAGAATGTTTGGTCTAGGACAGATATGACCTACGTGTAGCTATCGGAGAAGAGCAATGCATAAAAACAATTAATATGGGATAGTTATTGGGAGGAAGATGGTAAACATTCCACTGCTGAATATAAACAACTGATTTGTCTGCAGCTAAGCTCCCCAGAATGGAAGGGTGTGTGTGACAGCAGATCCTGGCAAGGAAAAAAACAAATAAAAATCCACTTCTGTATATACCAGTATGCTCTGAATTTAATTGCATCCAAATTCTGAGCTGTCCTGATTTTTTCTTGTTGCAGGTTAATGAACCTTCATGAACAAAAGGAGCAAACTCCAGACTAGATGATACACACAGGAGTTTTAAACAGAAGTGTGGCCTGATGTAGCTTCCTGGTGTTAACTTTGTTTTGGTAATTTATCCGAAACTGATGAAATGTGGAAATAGAGGACCAGCTAATTTTATCTTTATCAAATTTAAAGGTATGCTCCTGAAAGTGAGTAAATATTTGCCCCTTTAAAGATGTTATGTTTGACTGTCACAATATTGGTGTTTAATTCCTAAAGCACTCTTGTTTTCTGTGTACCCTGTACTAATTAATGTGTGCTTTAGTATAGTTTTGCTATACTAATGTAGTATGTGTTGTCACAGCATTGATACTATGGATAATCCTGTGAAGCTTGCAGTTTTGTGAATGCTTACTAAGACCTGAATTTAAAATATCTGCCATACAATGTAAGATTTAGGCACCACTCTAGAGTCTGAAATGTTCTTGAATTTTGTTTATTATGAAGATTGTATTTATTATGACTTTTGGCAACTTGATATATGGGATGAAGAGCATTAGCAGCCTGTGCCAATAAAATGTTTTTCACTTACAGTTTAGAACTAGACTTTAGAGTTTAAAAAAATTAAAGAATGTCACATCTTTGGTGTACACCAAAGAGTTTGGAAAAAAGTGACTCAATTGCATGTTTGAAAATACTTGTCTTCCTTCTAGGTTCATTGTTTCTGAACTGAATATGTGCTGTGTACAAATGATGTTGCCTTGCTCATGACATAATCAGTGTTATGTAGACGAAATAAAATTCGAGGGAAAATAGATTTTGGAGAAAAAAATGCCAAAGAAAAAGAAAAATCTTGGTGTGAGCCCATCAAGAAAGAGCATAAACTCAGAAGTGACGCCTGCTGCATCTGCCGACTTGGTACCGCCTTCAGTAGATCTAACAATGTTACAAACACCGCATGGGATTGATAAAGAAGAACTCTTCAGCAGTCTTTCAGAAATGTTTTCTGACTTGGATCCTACTGTCATTTACATGGTGCTATCTGAATGTGATTTCAGAGGTAAATCAAATTCTGTTAATATTGTCAGCATTTGTGTTTAACACAGTGATAAGGAGAGAGAGGTGATAACATGGGGTATCAAGGACTGGAACCCTGAACAGCAGGAACACTCTATATTAGGACATTTTGTCACAACAGCCACTTGTTAATAATGCACAAGTTCACAAACTACTTCCTAATAATTACCCCAATTAGCTCAGGGCGTTGCTCTTTGGCTCTTCTTCCTACAGATTTGCTTACCTCGTACTGGCACTAATTATGTTACACAGCCTGACATCAGGCATTGCATCTTGGGGAATCTAACATAATGGCTGGGTAAGCTAGTCAATGGAGAGCAGAGCATAACTGAATGTTGGTAGCAGTACCATGCTACAGTTGACAGCAAGGTCAGTGATGGCTTTTCTGAGCCCTAGGGCCTTTGGCAGGTGCCTGACTATATTGATCCGTGTTGTTGGCACTGCAACTGGGAACTTTCAGGTTGTCTGAAGAACAAGGTAACCTTGAAATAAATCTTAAATTCAATGTCTATTTGTAGAATGATCTTTATACTTTCTGTAGTTTAGAATGAGTTTCCATATCGCTTCCAGTGACTGTGCTTTTTCTTCATTTCATAGTTGAAGACACTATGGATTATCTGCTAGAATTGTCTACAGCTGCTAAGGGAATAACATCTTCACCACATGTCTCAGGTTTTGATTCCATATCTGCATCATTGGTTGGTGAAAATCAACCAAGCTGTGTTACTAATGAAATAGAGGGCCAAAGGTCTGCTGCAATAAAAAATGTGAAATCTAGTGAAGAATCAGAAAAGTCTTCATCATCTGAAGAACTGGTTTTCTTGCCGTGCCATCCTTTTGAGAAATATAATCTAAATAGTGAAATGAAGGATTCAAAAAATGACCATATCTCAGGCAATCTGTCTTTGGCTTTGGACCACGGTAGCTCTGATCAAGTCAAAGAGTTATCTGGGTGTGCAGAGTCCTGTTTGGGTTACAATACTGTGCTTTCTTTGCAGAAAAAGGAAACAGACAGTGAAAAATTAGAAACCTCCACTTCTTTAAATCCAGATTGTGACAAACCCTCTGAAGTAGTTTGTGGAAAATCAGGCATTCAGACAAATGATGTGGATATTTTTGCACAAATCCCAGAGAACTGTAATTTACCTGAAGTTGTACTTGACAGTGGTGCAGTTCCAGAAGTTGTTTTGGACCTTACAACCCTAAATGACGTGTCTGCTCAACACTGCCAGGGGATTGCAGAATTTCAAAATAGTGTGGTTGACAATTCTCGTTCTTGTTCACACAAGACTGAAAAACAGGGAAACACAGTGACTGTGTGTAATAATTATTATAATACTTCTGTTCCTGACCTATGTGCAGAATCCACTTTCAAACTGACACCTTTTACAAATGTTGACCAGTCTCAGCAGATGTGGAATTCACAATTTTCTGTGCTTCAGAAACAGTCTCAGGAGTGTACCTGGAACCTAATGGCTCCTGTCTTTTATCCTCAAAATGCAAGCCATAGCTTCGTAACTCCAGTCGCTGTCAGCCCTGGGAAATGGAGGCCTGCTTCAAACTCTAGGAGTCTTGGGAAAATATATTCTTCTCAAACAACTTCACAGTCTTGGGACAGCAAATCCTCTCTGCCGAAAATGGACATTTCTCAAGTACACCAGCTTCCTGTTTGTCACATGATGAGAAGAAAGATTCCTCTCGCAGGTCATGTGCTTGTTCTTCTTAGAGGGGTTCCTGGATCAGGCAAATCACATTTGGCAAGGTAGAGTATTCATAGATTTTTCTTTAAAAATGCATCATTTCTCACACTCATGTATGTGCATTAACTGTGACTTTGCATTATGTGTATACACAGACACAAACCTCTTTTCCATAATTTTCAAACCCTCACTATCTTTTTATCTATGGGGGAGGCCACTGTTTTGTGTCAGTTAAATATTATAATCCATGGTCAACTTTAGGAAGTGAGAGAGGATTGCTCTGGATAGGAGAGTGTGAAGGAGTATACATTTCCAAAGCTGATTTCCTGGTTTGCATGGTTTTTATATAGCGACTACACTCCTGATCATGTGCTTTGACACCGAAAGTTGCTGTCATCATTGTGTTGCATTGTGACAGCCCGAGAATGGTGCTGTGTACTCTTGGCTTTTTTATATATATCAGGAGGACAGAAATAATGTTTGAAACTTTCCCCAAGATTTAAAGTAAAGGTAAAGGGACACCTGACCGTTGGGTCCAGTCATGGCCGACTCTAGGGTTGCGGCCCTCATCTCGCTTTATTGGCTGAGGGAGCTGGCGTACAGCTTCCGGGTCATGTGGCCAGCATCACTAAGCCGCTTCTGGTGAACCAGAGCAGTGCACGGAAACGCCGTTTACCTTCCCGCCGGAGCAGTACCTATTTATCTACTTGCACTTTTGACGTGCTTTTGAACTGCTAGGTTGGCAGGAGCAGGGACCGAGCAACGGGAGCTCACTTTTTAAAGTTAAAACGTGTGCCACATAGATAGCACAAGCCCTGATTTAGAATGGCTTATCCATATTACTACACAATGCTCCTCTCTCCCAGCTGAGGCTCAAAATCATGTGTGCACAATTAAAGAGAAATTGAGAGTGGGGAAGGGAGGGTAGATGATTGTTTCAGCATTTTTTGTTTTTTTCCAGGGCTTTGCTTGAGGATAACCCTGGTGGTGTCATTCTTAGTACGGATGATTATTTTTACCAAAAAAATGGACAGTACCAATTTAATGCTGATTGCTTAGCAGACGCACATGAGTGGAACTGGAAACGTGGTATGTGCTAGATGAAGTCGAACAATTGTTGATTAAGAATATTGGAATCTATAAATAGAGAAGACTTAATGAAGTTCTTGTGCCAGGATTGGTGCTTGCCTATAAGCACATATTAAACAACAACTAACTGGGTTGGATAGGCCAGAGGGCCAGATCCTGAGCTCTCCCTCATAACACAGGCTGTTTTGACAGGTCGACAAGACAGCCTACCTGTCAGTCACCTGATGTCACCATGATTACAAACTTTGGTCATACTTCTGGCCATATTGCTAGTATTGTATATTGAATAGTTGAACGTAGGTTCATATATTTTAGTGCATATGACAACTTTGAGTATTTTGAGTGTTTCTGCAGTGGTTTGTCATGGTTATGCAGTGCTTTCTATAATTTTCTTTTAACTGAGTTAACATAAAAATGCTGGTTTTATTAATACATTTAAAAAAAAATTACTGGTATGTTTTTCAGCCAAAGAAGCATTTGAAAAAAGCATCACTCCAATAATCATAGACAACACAAACACACAGGCTTGGGAAATGAAACCTTATGTTGCATTGGTTAGTATTCCATAAGTTATTATTGTTGAACCAAAAGCCCATTAACATTTTCTCTGCATATTTGTAGACAGTATGGAGGTATTTGAGCTCATGCTCTCTATAGGCTGTTGAGATGATGGGGGGGGGGAGATTGAGTTGGCCTAATGCTTTCACACTCAATGCAGTGAGGATGGAGAAGCAGAACATGAGCTCAAGACATACTTTCAGTCTGCCTGGGTACAATTGCAAGAGCAAGCATCATTTAATGGAGCCCAGATATTAGTCATTTGGAAAAGCTGCATGTTTACTCAGAAGCAAGTCCCACTGAGTTTAATAGGGCTTACTCCTAAGTAAGTGTGTTTAGGATTACAACTATAAAATCTATAATCTTAGATCTCTTATATAAGCACGAGACATTTATTATGAGTGCTTACGTTGTACAGTTTTGATGAAGATCTTGTTCTTTGTGACCAGCAATGATGGTGCGTGAGATGTGTTCTGAACTATGACTTGTTTCATTTTTAACTGTATTCTTAACCTGCTGAGGGATGTATCTCAAGCGTTTTTACACTTTTATTCAGTCCCAGGAACACAAATATAAGGTTATATTTCGTGAACCGGATACCTGGTGGAAGTTTAAACCAAAAGAACTGGAAAGGTAAAAAAAAACCCCTCACGATTCTGTTATAGCATATTTGAAAAGAAATAATATCTTCAGATAAATGAGCTAGTAGGAGTGAGACCAGCTTTTATTGAACCCCAAAATGCAAATGCAAATTATAGGGATTGCTGCAATACTATGAATTGTTCTCTCTTTTCTTCCAAGAGAACCTGTGTGATTACTTGGACTAATTCATTTGCGAATTGTACCTTTAGTTCATGTAAAGCTTCAGTTGCTTCAAAAATATTCTGTGGCTGTCAGCTACAGAGATTCTTTTAAAGAGCCTCAAGAATAGATACTATTATTCAAGCCCATTATCTTCATTGGTTAAGGATAGGGAGGTGGGATGTTGTGACAACATGATCTTCCATATATAAGTGGCGAGCAAAGTAGCACCTAATAACTGTATTTTGTTTCTCCTTTTTCCTTTATAGTTTTTAGTTTTTAGATTATTGTTTCTTTCTCTGGTCCATTGCTAATATAAGTTAAAGTCGACATGGGCAAAAAAATACCCAAGAAAATCTACTCTTTCTGGCCATTAATTATTTCCAAAGCTATAAGAAAAGTGGTTTAAAATGTCATGATTTGTAGCAGTGGGTTTTTCCACATTTAGCAAGCTGTTCCTAAATAGTCAAGTAGAAATTGAAAGTAAAGGGTGCCAAGATCTATTTTACCCAGTTTGGAACTCTACCTGTTTACTACTTTTTATTTATTTATTACTTAGGCAACGTGATATGGCAGTGTAGGTTTTCATGTTGCACAAACCTTTATTTGCTTGTTTATGCACCATCAGCTGTTGGGAAAATTCTCAGTACCTGCTCCTTAAATTGTAACACCACGGAAAACAGCTTCAGTTAAATGTTTAATAGTTGCCTCAAATGTTTTCAACCAAAGTTGGAATATGCCTTTTACTGTGAGATTCATTCTCAGATATTCTGTTCTTTTTAATGTTCAGGCGAAATATTCATGGCGTATCAAAAGAGACGATCAAAAGAATGTTGGAACGATATGAACGTTGCCTGACTGTTAATTCAATTTTGAATTCTTCAATCCCAGATGAATTGAAAAGTGCCACCTGTGATGAAGTTCTTCACCACAAAAAGGGAGAAGGGTAAAATTAAAGTATCAAAAGTATTGAAATACAAAACTTCAAGCCAGTTTACTTGGTTAGTTAATGATGCTGATAATGCCAAGGTCGCAGGTTCAATCCCCATGTGGGGCAGCTGCATATCCCTGCATTTCAGGGGGTTGGACTAGATGATCCTCAGGGTCCCTTCCAACTCTATGATTCTATCTATATCTGTAAAGTGTGAAAGCAAATGTCTGTGAGTCTAACTAAGACCTTATATCACAGAATGTGCTGAACTTTCAGTTTCAGAAGTAGCATGGAACTTCAGGTTTTATATATCTCCATAATCTAACAACTTCCACTTTGACTCCTTCCCTTCAGCATCCAGTTATCATCTTAATAATATCCCAGTTACATCCAAAAGAAGGTATTGACTCAATAGAAGTCCGTGATTTTTTCCCCATCTTGGCCCTTCTATCTTTCTAGGAATATGTATATAAATTCTTCAATATATATTAGAAGATGTTATGACTTAAACGCTTTAGCAGAAGTAAAGATGATTAAGGTGTGCATTTTTTCCTTTCAAGGTCCATTTTAAAAATCCATTGTTTAATTTACAGGAAGGAAGATATGCCTCATTATGGGAAAAACAAGGAACATTTTCCTTCACCTTTGAAATGCATAGAATTAAGTATGGAAGATAAGCATCAGTCAGAGAAAGTTACAGTGGAAAATCAGACTCTCCTGAATAAAAAGAGAGAACTGGAGCATTGGGTTCAAGACTGTACTTCTAAATGTAATGTCTCTCTGGAAGACATAGATCTCAATGCATCATCAAGGACAGACAAAATTGATTCTACTCTTGAAAAGATGGACTTGGTAAAGTCTGAGGAAAGTGAATTCTCAAATTCCAGTGAAAATATTCAGAAGTACAATAACAAGGACATAATAGCTGAAGTTGAAGCAAATCAGTGTGCTGAAGTCCTAACAGAAGCAGAGTTAAGACTGACAAAAAACATGAATAAGGCAGATTCAGGCTGCGATAAACCGGTAGGGCCAGAAACAGTAAATTTTGTGGGAGACTGGCCAATAGAACAAACTATGGGGCAGAGAGTGAAAAGAGCTAGAAGGTCAGAAAAACTGACTATAAAGAATGGCAAAGAGGATAAAGGTCTAAGCATACCCAATTTTGATGCATTAGCAATTCTAGATGAAGATGAAAAGGTAAATCCGGTTAATATTCATGAAGAGCTGCCACTTTCTCAGAGTAAACAGGAAGAAATTAAACAGCCCTCTGCCTGTATGTCTGCTGATGATACGGAAGAAGATGCATCACGACTGCTGATTGTAGGAGACTGGCCAGTCCAAAACTCTTTAGAGCAAAGACAGCACAAAATGAAAAGAATACTCAAGAGAAACACTGGTGAATCAGAAGAGATTATAAGTAGTCAATGCAGTATTAACGAAAGTACTCTGAACACAGTAACGGTACTTCCTACAACATCTGCAGGTGCTGGAGAGCTACTTGTCTCATCAAAGAAGGAAAGTCTTCTGGCACCTGAAATCTCTGGTTCTGAAACTCTTAGTGAGAAAAAGTCTGTGCAGAACAAAAGGGCACGCAAGCATCATAAATTAGCTCTAACATTTACCAACAATTTGGCCCTCAGTAAACCAGAGGAAGAATTGTGTCTGTCTAATTTGCTGGAAGAGAAACCCGATGAATGCATCATGGCAGAGGCCAATAAGTATTCGCAGACGGAGCCCCAGGATTTTGCTCTCCTGTGGAGGCTTGAAAGGAAAATTATTGTTTCGGAAGATACCAAAGTATTAAATGGCAGACTGGATGGATTCATACCAAAAGGCATTCATACTGCTTCAGAAAAAATACCCTATAAAGTAACTTATGAGAAAAGCACATATGTGGAAGAAAGTGAACTTGTCAATATTGATGTATCTGAGAATCTGAATATTTTGTGTAAACTCTTTGAGTCCGTTTCATTTGATGCACTGAAGGACTTGTATGAAAGATGTAACAGGGACATTGATTGGGCTACAGGGATCTTGTTAGATTCTGCTGAGAAGTTATGCAGAGATGATGAGGTTGGACCCTTGCAGGAAGCACAGATTCAGCCTTCTGGCAAGTCTCTTGACTCTAATGAAAATGCTGGTTATAGAGAACGACTTGCAGATTCTGAGGAAACCACTCAAGGAACTGTGTCTTCTAGAATTAGTCAGGATTCAGAAATAACAAATCTCTCTGTTGATGGTGGAGGTGATGAAGCTTCCACCGTTAAAGATGAACACAACTTTTCAACTGCTTCCCCAGCAGAAAACAAACAGTTAATGCCGTCTGCTCCAAGAACTCATGTCGAAGAATCAGGAAATGAGAAACCACTTTTAGATACCACACATACAAAAGAGATGAACTCTGTTATTCTATCAGAAAATGAGCAGCCGAACAAGATGTTGCATACTGAAGTGGAGTGTTCAATTATAGAAGAGCTCCCATCTCATCTAATGCTTACAGAGGGCTCTGCAAGCAAGGACAGCAAATTTGAGGTGGATAAAAAAATGAATTGTAAACCAATGTTTCTAATTGCAGCAAAAAATGAAGAAAACAAAATACCCAATCAAGATAAAAGCAAGTTAGTGAACCCCACACCTGTATCAAAATCTGTGAATATAAATTCCCTAGAACTGGTCTTACCTCCTGAACTAGCCATTCAATTAAGTGAAATATTTGGACCTGTTGGTGTTGATTCAGGTAATAAAACCATGATTTTTAAAAAAATGCTAGGAGTTAAAAAACCCAAAAGTATTGGTTATTTGAAGCTACAGCCGTTGATAGATATTAGAAAAAAGACTCACCTGTATCTTGGTGGTGGTCAGACTCGGTAGTAGTCAGCAGTTTTTACTCATTTTGCAAAATCCTCCAAGTCATTGCTCTGTTTTCCACCATATGAGTGAATGGCAGCCATTCACTTACATAAAGTTAATTAAAAGTCTACATTTGGGAATGCCAATAGGGTAGAGATTTAAGGTGCCCCTGTTAAGTCCAGTTTCTAGACAAGCGATAGATCGTAGCTCAGTGTAGAGTATTGAGCTCTGCCTTGAATCCAGAAGGTCCTAGGTAGGCCTAGGAAAGACCCTGGGTTGAGAGAGAATCCTGGAAAGTCAGTCATTGTAGACAATATACCAGCTTTCATTAGTCCCAGCCAGCATGACCAGTTGTCAGAAATAATGGGAAGGTGTAGTCTGGCAACATCTGGGGGGGCCACACGGTCCCTCTATCACTTGTCCAAAGTCTGTCTGTCTGATTAGCTTCATCATCTCCATATTCTCACTTTGGGTCCTCCTCCTTAGTGAAATTTGGACCTGGTCAAACTGATTTTGTTGTTGTTTAAAAATACTCCTTTGAGTTAATTTATTTCCTATTCCACATTAGAATTGTGGTTTATAAATTAAGCTGTGTTTCAAAGTGGTGTTATATTGCTCTGTTTTGAGACAGATTCTCTGAATTATTTCAGGAACTGATGCTTTATCCTACAAAAAAGCCAAGATATTTGATTAAGAATAAGCTTGGCTGAACTACATTTAATTTGTACAGTGTTTTAACCTCTAGCTTTTTTATTCAATAAGGATCTCTAACTACTGAAGATTATGTGGTTCATATCGATCTGAATTTAGCCAGAGAAATTCATGAAAAATGGAAAGCATCTATTACAGTAAGTCAGTTTCTTTCTAAAGACAAGTCTATGGCATCTTATGCTTGCATTAAAAAGCACTGGTATTTATTTATTAGCTGACCCCTGTTAAAATATTTCTCAGAATTTATAGTGCATGTAAATAAGTGGCATGATTACACTGAGATCACATATACTCCAAATAAAAGTTCTTAAACATACAATCAAAATTTTGAACCAACTAACTTTTTAACTTTTTAAAGAGGAACATGTCAAAGGTCTGATTCATGTGCTTTTCATGCAGCCGCAAGATAACACAGGCAGAAAAACTTAGTTTAAAAACATGGTAAAATGTTTATAAACAAATGGTCTGGGCTTGAAGTGATAAGCATACAACCTGAACCTGTTGTAAACTGAGTACAGTTGTCCAAACAAATTTTATTAATCCTTTTTTTAAAAAAAACTAATTGGAGATTCATTAAAACTTAATAATATGATTAATTGAATTTAAAATGTTTTAATTTAGAAGCGACAGAGGAGAGAAGAGGAGCTGCATAAGCTTCTTGAAGAAGGTAAGCTTATGTTCTAATTAACCACTCTGGGCCTCCCATTATTTAGACTGGGTGCCCTTTTAGATGTGCATCCAGATTCTGATCACCACATGGTAACAAATACAGCAGGAATGGCAAAGTTATTCAGTCTTCAAAGTTATTCTATGTAAAATAAATATAGCAGCACATTTGTTGTCATATGGGTAATCCCATCTTATCATACAACCACCTTAGGAGGTAGGGTTTCAGGACCTAGCAGAGTGTTGTTTTTGACTTTGCACAGCTCTAGCTTGGACAATATTATTCTTACTCTCCCCCGCCCCTCTGTCTATCTCATCTACACTCAGATTAAGGTTTATTTATTTCTTGTCCTTTTATATGTGCAGCAAAATTTATTTGAAATAGGGATGCACAATTATCTATGTATATATTTAGTTGTTGCTTTTTTAAAAAAAGCACTACCTATTTGTGAAAAGAAAGAGCATGTACAGTGGTACCTTGGGTTAAGTACTTAATTCGTTCTGGAGGTCCATACTTAACCTGAAACTGTTCTTAACCTGAAGCACCGCTTTAGTTAATGGGGCCTCCTGCTGCTGCTGCACCGCCGGAGGACGATTTCTGTTCTCATCCTGAAGCAAAGTTCTTAACCTGAAGCACTATTTCTGGGTTAGCGGAGTCTGTAACCTGAAGCGTATGTAACCTGAAGCATATGTAACCCAAGGTACCACTGTATGTAGTAAAAATGCTGTAAAGAACAGCATGTGAACACAAAGGGACTGAGCAAACCACAAAGCTTTGCAACTGAGAGGCCAGAGGTGTGGAATTACTTATGTGTGATCTACTTCTCAGACCCTCAGAACCACAATCTGTGCTTCAAGCCACTGCTTTTGAAATTAAGTTCCCCAAAAGGAGGAGGAGCCAGCAGAGGAGTGTGAAATCAGCCGTGTTTTTTCAGGTGCACAGGCACAACATGGAGTAAGGCAGGGAGTAAATACTAATGTGCCATCAATATACATGTGTCGCAGTTAGAAAAACACAGTAAAATAAAATAGTTTTTAACAGTCTGTTTTTATTTATGCCTTAATACAAGTGACACCTTTCAAAATGCATAAAAAAAATACATGTATTTGGATTATCTGTATTTGAAACTGTTCCTTTAAAACAATTCATCACCTTCCGGCTTTGTTGCTTCTGTAGATCCCATGCTGTTTGAGCAATTCTGTCTAGATGAGCTGGACAGCCTTCTTTCTCCGCACACAAACTGTCAAGTACAGAAGACCGAAAGACTGCCTACAGATACGCTAACTGAAAACTCAGCTGCTTCAGAGTTTTTTCCTTTCATGGATCACTGGAATGTCCAGACGCAGAAAGTATCACTCCGGGAGATAATGTCCGAAGAAATCGCCTTACAAGAAAAAGAGGACCTGGTATGATTAATAATAATAATGATAATAATTTTTCATTTATACGCCGCCCTCCCCAGCCAAGGCCGGGCTCAGGGTGGCTAACAAGCAATAATAAAACAAGTTGAATGAATACAACTTAAAAACAAGATTAAAATATAACATTAAAAATATTGAAACATTAAAATGCAGCCTCATCACAGGAGGAGAAAGGAAAAAGAAAAAAGAAAGAGGGGGAGGGAATCAAATTGGCTCCAAGCCAAAGGCCAGGTGCAACAACTGTCTTATAGGCCCTGCGGAAAGAAATTAGATCCTGCAGGGCCCTGGTCTCATGAGGCAGAGCGTTCCACCAGGCCGGAGCCAGTGTTGAAAAGGCCCTGGCTCTGGTTGAGGCTAATCTAACTTACTTAGGGCCCGGGACCTCTAGGGTGTTGCTATTTACGGACCTTGAGGCTCTCCGTGGGGCATACCGGGAGAGGCGGTCCTGCAGGTACGACGGGCCTAGGCTGTTAAGGGCTTTAAAGGTCAAAACCTTTTACACATACGTTGCCCCTTAGCACTATGCATTTCCTATATTTCACCCTCATTGTGAGCTGAAGCACGCAGCAGGGCATAAGATTAGCCACTAGGCTCCCAGCGTAATGGACCTCTCATTCTCTTGTTCTAGTTCTCATACTTGGCCCACCCACCACTTCCTTATGCTATAACAGTAACCGCTTTGCAAACACTCACAAAGTTTCACTTGCAATGCAGCTGCACTGCCTAGAAAGTTGGTTATTAGTTTAGGTCAGGGAGCGGGTGGCAAGTGACTGTTTTCTAGCACATAAAATCTGTAAGGGTGGCCCTGCCATCTTGCTCCAGGATAACTTTCCACCAGTGATGTTGATGTATTAAGCTGATAGGGGAGGATTAAACAGAAAGTGGTGCTGTACAACAACTATGTGGTTCTGTTGCGCTTGTGAAGCTAAAACAGAGAGTAGGATGGGGCTGAAATGCGATTTAGCCAAAGTCTAGAGCCAGAAACCTGCCTTTAATTCCAATTTCTTGGTATAGTTGACTCTCAAAATGAAATGGGCATAAATGAAGTAATTGGCACCGATGGGAGCTTGTTTTCTGAGGTGAATAACATGTGGGAGAAATTTCTATTAGAATTTCTCAGAAGGGAAGAGTTAAATCTTTCCTTACTGCACCCTGGTCATGATGAAAATTACCCCCTCCCCCCACATAGGCAACTGTATAGAAATAATGGATATAGTTGCAATGACACATTTAACACCATGTGCAAGGTTTTGCTTCTAATGCATTTTCCCCTGTTTTGTGTACTCCTGAAGACCAAAAGTGTGGCATAGTGGTCATTTGGCTATTAATATGTACATTGGTGCTAAGATTTAAATTAGAAACGGAGATTTTTAGTGGTATCCCCCATGAATCATCTTGATTTACCCTAATATATTAACTTCAGCTTATAGCCACTATATTGTGCTACTTTATCTCCCAAACCAAACAGTCTCTTCAATACAGTTTTGCAAGCAGCCTTTTATGATTTAAATTTCAGGTGGCTGAAGCTAGAAAATGTCTCCCTATAAATAGTATTGCCAGCCCTAAATAATCTGGAACCAATAACAAAGGGTGGTATCCAATGTTGTGAGAGAAGAAGTAGCACAATTACTATACTTCTTCCTCTGCATTGCCCCCCAACCTGCCCTGTGATTTGCTCTGGAGGTTGCCTCTACCCAGGGGAGCAGATTTGGGAACAGGCAGGAGAGAGGAGGAAAAAATTGGTTGTCACCCACCCCAAAATGTGGAAAACTGTAATTTTGAAATCTTTTTATTAGATCCATTTTTCTACAAAGCCTTTTCTAATAATATAATTATAATGTCAACTTGTTTTCTGGATTAGAAACGCTCTCCTTTCATGGCTAGAAAAGACTGCGCTGCCAAACTGAAAGAGAAGCAACTCCTGGAGTTATTCCCAGCTATTAACCCAAACGTCTTAATGGAAATCTTCAAGGACCACAAGTGAGCTCCTGCATGTTCATATGATGCTGCTAAATTCAAAGAACTAAATGGCTTGAATCTGAATACCTTTTGAATTGCTTTATACTGCACAAGTCTGTTCAAGACTACCCTTGAAGGCTTTTCTTCAGATCTTCCTGTTGCCTGAGATAAGGCCAGTAGTGACCAGAGACAGAACCTTCTTTGTTGTGATGTTCTGGCCCTGGAATTCTTTCCCCGGGAGACTTGCCTGGTGCTAGAATTTGATTTGAGAAATTAAAGATCAGGTTTTAGAATGCAAGCTTCTCTCTCTTTCTTGTGTGCGCGCGCGTGTGTCTTGCTTTTTCCTTTCTTGTTAATTAATAAAGTTCTGCTGTTCTGTGATATATCTTGAATCATTCACTGGCTGCTGCTTCTTTTTTTTATCTCAGTTATTCTTTGGAGCAAACCGTCCAGTTTTTGAACAGCGTTCTAGAGTCAGATCCAGTAAAGACAGTTGTAGCCAGAGAAACTGCCCAGGGTGCCATACTCTCTTCTTGCAGTGCTTTAAAGACACGAGAGAGAAAGGTAATGACCATTTTGTACATTTGTTGCAAATACGTTTAAATAAGATGCTGTTATAGTGAAATATGGGTCCTCAGCATTTTTAACATTTTAGGGAAAGGACTTTATAAATAGTAAATAAAAGTCAGTTTCAGTAGGAGTATATATGATTGCTTCTTGTTTTGAACTGACCAGATAGAAAATGTCTTTGGTGGAGGTGTCTTACTTTAATAAGCCTTGGACCATATCCTAAGTGTAACACTTATGAATTATAGGCCAGAAAGTGCAAGGAACCAGAAGACATTCTTGGTGCAAAGGCGTTTCAAGACTTTGAATATCCAGGATATGATGATTTCAGGGCCGAAGCTTTTCTTCACCAACAGCACAAGCAAGAGTGCCTGAGAAAAGCTGGGGAGGCATATCGCATGGGAATGAAGTCTGTAGCAGCATTTTATGTTCAAAGGGTAAATTTGTCTTAATCAATTCTGCAATTTTTGCCTTCTTTACTGGAAATGTTGGCCATTCGTAATCATGTAAGTTTTTGGTGTTTGCACTGATAACCACCACATAAGCAAGTGTCAATGCTCTTTTTGAATCTCCAATAGCAGAACTAGTGGACTGTGTGCTGAAATATTCCCCCCCCCCATAAGGTCAGAAACATTTATTTTGTAATAAATTGGAAATATGTGGACATGGCATTTTAATTCAGAAACAAGCAACTCATGGCTTTCAAAGTGCTGTTGGATTAGAATATAAGACGACAATGGAAGAGCTTATTCACTAACAATGGCTGGAATTCAGAGTGCTACATTGCATGCAAATGAGTGTTTGGTCATTGACAATAGAAACTCTGACTTTTTGCTTATTGAGTTACAGGCCATATCACAAATTACTATTGAATGTCCCTGCATTTCAAAATAGCAATGGAGCTACTTGCATAGTTTTTTGGACCCCAGCATGTATTGTGTACTTCTACAGGTGTTTTAAACCATAATTGCTGTACTGAAACCTTCAGGTGATTCTCTTAGCATGCTAAGGCAGACTGAGTTGTTTTTTTACCAGTTGTATATATGCACACAGTCAGGGAGCACAAAGTTGACTTCCTCTCTTTTTTTCTTCCTACCTTTATGATCTCTGCTCATTTCACACAGTCTCGTTGTGACTTACATCTTCCTGAAACCCACCTGATCAGGCCTTACTTGACCTACTTTTGACAAGTTAAGTCTAAATGCACATGTCGCTGTTCTGAGACATTACAACTCCCTGCCTATAGCGCTGTTTTGAATCCTGATATCCAGTGCTGCACTTAGGTTGCACCTCGTGATGTTTACAGTAGATGTGTGTTTGCATCAAGGGTCGCCTTCACGAGGAGAAGATGAAAGAAGCCAACCGCGATGCTGCCATGCAAATCTTTGAGAAAGTGAATGCATTGAAGCTTCCTGAAAACCTGTTGGACCTACATGGTCTTCATGTGGATGAAGCTTTGGCTCACCTGGGTAGAGTATTGCAGGAGAAAACAGAAGGTACAAGAACACTTCTTTGTTTACAGAGATTAAACTGGACTTGTGTATGTGGGCAACATCTCGGAAGTCGAACGTTTTGGTTTCCGAACGCCAAAAACCCAGAAATAAATGCTTTCATTTTCGAATGAGCCTTGGAAGTCAAACAGCTTCCGCTGAGTTTTTTCAAATTTTCTCTATTGATTTTGCAGACCGCCCTTTGCGGCTTTGGTTTTTGAATGTTTTAGAAGTTGAATGGTCTTTTGGAACGGATTACGTTCGAAAACTGAAGTACCACTGTATTAAAACGGACGTGTTGCTTTCCATGTTAGTGGATGGGCTAGCCTTCATGGACGGAACATATAATTTGCATATAATAATAATAATAATAGTTAATATTATTATTTATACATACATACATACATACATACAGTGGTATCTCGGGTTAAGCACTTAATTCGTTCTGGAGGTCCATTCTTAACCTGAAACTGTTCTTCACCTGAGGTACTACTTTAGTTAATGGGGCCTCCTGCTGCCGCTGTGTCGCCGCCACACGATTTTTGTTCTCATCCTGAAGCAAAGTTCTTAACCCGAGGTACTATTTCTGGGTTAGTAGCGTCTGTAACCTGAAACGTCTGTAACCTGAAGTGTCTGTAACCCGAGGTACCACTGTATATACATACATACATACATACATACATACATACCCTACCCATCTGGCTGAGGTTCCCCAGCTACTCTGGGCGTTTCCCAACAGAATATTAAAAATACGATAAAACATCAAACATTAAAAATTTCCCTAAACAGGGTTGCCTTCAGATGTCTTCTAAAAGTCAGATAGTTGTTTATTTCCTTGACATCTGATGGGAGGGCATTCAACAGGGTGGGCGCCACTGTCAGCTTCGGAGGGGTGAAATCTCCTTAGCCACCACCGAGAAGGCCCTCTTTCTGGTTCCTGGTTTAACTAAGGTTAAATTCCTGGCATCTAGTTAAAAGGTTCTTAAGTAGCCGTACTGATACAGATACCAGCAAGCTGCTACCAATCACAGTAGACAGTACTTGGCTAGATGGACCTGTAGTCTAAGGCTACTTTGTATTTCAAAATTTACCATATTGAAAGATTTTAGATATATTCTAAAAGAAATTTTTAAATCTGTTGAATGCAGAATTCATAAGGAGAGTATATTGTGACCATTCTTATTCTTGTGTAACAGAATGCAACCTGGCTGGTGGTAAGCCATATCTCTACGTGATCACAGGAAAGGGAAACCATAGCCAGGGAGGAGTTGCTCGCATCAAACCAGCAGTTATGAAATACCTCACAAGCCACAAGTTCAGGTGAGCTGAACCTACCGTTACTGACAACTTGCAATCTGCATTTAACCAATTAAAAACTGGTGGTAATTTCACTAGAAAGTGTAGTAGACATAAGCTCCTCGGGCAGGCTTATTGCCAGGTCTGCAGAGTGCAGCAGGAAGTTTCTATCTAGGATCATAGGTCATTCCTAATGACAGTTCTGGCTGTTAATGATGGTTTTCTTTTTATTTGCCTATGGTGGTAAACACGGAATCAAGTGAGGAAGGAGATTTGAGATTGAGTTACATTAAATCTGATGAAAGGGTAATGGGTGAAGTCAAGAGTGGAAGGCTGGAGCTGGGAGAGATTGCAGGAATAATAGAAAACAAGTTGTTTTCACTCCCTTAGCTCTCTGGTCTAGCCCAAATACACCCCACCTTGTGCTCTGCCATGTTTCTCTTTTCAACACCTCACTTTTAAGTCTAAAAGAAAAGCTGTCTCATTTGGTGGTCAGGGAGCAACATTAGGTATGCACAGGGGCTTGGGCAATGGCAGTGGGATTTTTTCTTCTGTGAACAGTGAACCTCTCTTCCACATGCTGTGCCGCAATCTGATTTTTAAATTCCCATCAGTGGTTTGTTATGTGACATGATGGTGGAGGCTGCTTCTCAGTTCACAAACTCCAGAGCATCTTTGGGCACAGAGAGCAAGCTTATTTGAGGCTATACCTCTTTATTAGGCTTATTATTTCTTAAGTTACCGTATTTATAGGACACACTCGACCATAGGACGCACCTTGTTTTAGAGGGGAAGAACAAGAAAAAAAAAATCTCTCCCTCTCTGCGCAGCGCCTCTTCAGCGAAGCGGCAGGCGAAACGGAGCCCCTTCCATTTCTCCTCCCGCTTCTCTGAAGGGGCGCTGCGCAGAGAGGGAAAGCTGTGCAGCGCCTCTCCAGTGAAGCGAAGCCAGGAGAGCAAGAGGGATTGGTGTGCACCGACCCCTCTCGCTCTCCAGGCAAGGCAACCCAAAGCCTCCGGAGTGCAGTGCGAACTCCCGCTGCGCTCCGGAGGCTTCAGGCGGCTATCCCTGAAGCCTGGAGAGCGAGAGGGGTCGCTGCGCACCGACTCCTCTCGCTCTCCAGGCTTCAGCGAAATCAACACGTAGCTTCCGGAGCGTGGAGGGAGCGCTCCCTCTGGGCTTTGGAGGCTTTGCGTGGCTATCGCTGAAGCCAAGGAGCCTGCATTTGCTCCATAAGACGCACACACATTTCACCTTAATTTTTGGAGGGGAAAAAGTGCGTCTTACAGAGCAAAAAATACGGTAGTTTCTTTCATCCGGCCAAAAAGATGGTTTAATTTGAAACTTGCCCTTCTATATGGTGAAAGTGTCATGTAATGCTCTGTAATGTTAGAGCATTGTATGAGAGATTTAAAAACCTTTCCACCTGCACAAGCCCTTGCACAAACGAACATGAGAAGTGCTGTAGAATTTGTCTCTCATACCACTGTGCGGATTCTTATGCAAGCATTTGTGGAACAGTGCTAAAGTCTGTTTTCCTACCCCTTGCAGTTTGAATCAAACCTTAAACGGCTGCTTACAATATTACCCTGATTCACAGGTTCACAGAAATAAAGCCAGGCTGCTTGAAAGTCATGCTGAAGTAAAAGGATGTCACCAAGAGGACTGGAAAAGCTGCTATAATTGACATACAAACAACTTCAAAATATAATGCCGTTCCTGTGCTACTTTTAAATAACAATATTTTACTGGAAATATTTTAACGTTTTTAGCAGGTGTGTTTTTTGTCAGCATGTTTTCCTCGCCAAAATTGAATGGATTTTTTTTTCTTTTTAAGGGAAATAGTTTTTTGGCCTCTTGATATAAAAGGAGTCCATGTGAAGAGAACTTCTGTACAAGAAATGGACTTTCAAAGGGAAGGCTCCATTTTGAAACACTCTGTCCTCTCAGATTTAAAGAACATCCACAAATATCTCAAGCATTATCTTCTTAAAACACTTACCTTGTTCTGTATAAGAGGGGTAGCCAACATAGTACCCTTCAGATCTTTTGGACTACATTCCCCATCATTCCTGGCAACTGGGCATGGTGGTTGGGGCTGATGGAAGTTGTAATCCACATTTGGAGGGTATCATATTGACTACCTCTGCTCTGTCATGTTTTTAAGACTTGGAGCTAAGATTGCTTCAGATGCTTTGAAATAATTAAAAGTTTTGGGGGGAGAAAATGATGCAGTGGATTGAAGTAATGAGCTAATAATTATTTATGTTCCTTGGGGAGAAGTGGAAATGTTAGGTGTTAACATTTCCCTGGACTTAAGAGAAATACAACGTCTCATACCTCAGTGAGTTATCTGCTCAGATTGTCCCAACTCTTCAACTCTCTTCATATATTGAAAGTGTTGACAATACTGCCTGATGAGATGGTTGAGCTTTTTTGTGAAAGGATATGGGTACATAAAGGTCTTGACCATTATGTAAGTAATGAGGAACCATTTCCTCTCTTATTTATACAGTTGCCACTAGAATCAACAAAATTTTAGAAGTCCCAGTTTTTGTGACGTATAAAGAGCTGGATTCAGCTATATATTTGTGCTAGTGGGAGCCAGCATAACAAAGCCCGCTAATGCTGTTGCGCTGATGGAACAATTCTTCCATTTTTCGCTTAAAATATTAAGTGCACTGGCTCATGAGTGCAACGAGAATATGTACAGAGAGCTGCTGTGTGAATTGAAATGTACAAGGGTACCTGCAGTGAAGCTCCTTTTGTGCATTGTAACTCCTGAATGTGTGACTAAAGTCTCTGGATCGGGGTCGGCATTTCCATATTCTTTGTGGTAGGAGAAAATGTAAGGAATCTTCATAGACTCCATCCTGTCTGTATAAAAATTACATATGGTCTATTAGAGAAGACACCAGCAAATTGACGCCATGTAAGGGTTTGCCAGCTTTGAGCAAGCCCATGTGCCATTAACGACAATACTGGATAAAGCATTTATCAATGGCAGCTACTACCATTGCAGTACTGATGGAGGGAGCTACATCTACTGACATTCTCATATTCCTACTGCTGCTGTTAAAACATACATGGTTTCCTTCAGATCAGGAAGTACAGCAATGTGTGCATGCATATCTCTCTTACAGGGATGCAGTTTCATTTGAAAATGTTTCATCATTATAGTATATTTTGTGTGGATTTTTAAATGTTAATTCATGGCTGAGAATAAGCAAGCAACTCAAAGTATTTTTTAAACGTATTTTAATATCAAAACTGGATGATCCTAGTTGCAAATTGAATGACATCTCCCATGATATTCAGTGCCTCTGTATCCAAACAAATTAATACATATAGAAATATTTTAAAAACTGATAGGTGACATTTATTTTCAAGAATATGCAAATAATGTATACATGTCTTTCAGCGTGGACATGCAAGTGCTCTTTAAAATTGTTTTATAATTATGAAGCTTTTAAAACAATTGAGGATTACATGTGAGCCATTGTGTAAATAGGTGAGTGTGAAATATTTCAAGTTACAACCAATTGTGTCCTTCCACTGATGGGGACTTCAGTGGAAAGAGGGGGGTGGCAAATTTTGTCAGTTTCCCCCTTCCCTCCTGCAGTGCCACCTTCTATGCTGATCTGAAGGTTCTCCCTAGCCTCTGGAGCAGATTGGAAGGGCACAATAGTCTGTATGGGGGAGGAAGAATATATGGCAATTACCTCCCTCTCCATGCCACTGATGGAAGCCTCTTAAGTGCTTTCCATCAGTGGAGAAAATACAATTTGTACAACCCTTCATATCTTAAAGGTGCCATTTCAGTAGAATTTTGAAGCAGCCAGTTTCTTTGACATATAATGCAACAGAATTTGTACACACATGTTATGGACACCAGTTAAATTGGGACATTATAGTGCATGTGCAACTATTGAAAAGTTCCAACCTGCAGTTAACTATGATCCTTTCAAAGAGATCTTTGAGTGGGAACAGATTCCTGCACATTGCAGGGAGAAAGGAAACTCATCCAGTCCTTAGTATGTTATTTACAGGACTTACCACCTGGATCAGAGCTTCAGAATTTCCTACTAAATTGATATCTAAGCTTAATGAATTTTAGAAAAGATAGCTTTTGAATCTGGAGGAAAAAAATGATGATGGAAGGAGTGCCTGGTATAGAAATCCAAACTGCCTTTTTTTGCTTAGGGGTGTATGTCATTATGGGAGAAAAACAAAACCTTTTCCTTCTATTTTTATAAATCAAGCACTTTTAAATATGTGAGTTGCTTGGTAGCTAGATTCCCCCTCCCCTTTTTATGTGGACTGCCCTATAGCCAAAGAAACTACTACTGCTTCCCCCATTGAAATAATTGGCTTTTTCAAACACCTTCCTATGTACCAGAATGGGTGTGTTCATCAAAATACTTATTCAGGAACCTAATGCAAAGAAGGGATGCTTCACCATTACCATTGTACAGATGTGTCTGTATGGCCAGGACATGCATGCATGTTTTGCTTCATGTACAAATCATGGGGAAACCACTATTGACTGTGAGATCTTCACTCCATGTCCAACTAGCCTGACCAGCTACATAGTGTTGATCACACAAGAAGGGGTAACGACACACGTGGAAGAGCTACCCATATTAGGATAACCATGATGTGAAAGGCCCCAAGGTAGTTTCTCTTAATGCGATGGCAGATTTATCTTTTCAGATGCTGGTCTATTTTTGTCCTTTTTTCATGAACGGAGTTCTTCTCGCAGGAACTTTGGATCCAAGCCATTGTGACATTGTAAAAATTTCACTCCTTTCGATAGAACCTGCCAAGTAGAAGTGGCTGCTGGATTATAGCCTCCTGTTCCCTTCTACACTTTAGTAGTTTATTTAAAAATAACTGTGAATAACTTGTATATTTTCTTAGGGGAAAAAATACAACTGAAGAAATTAAGACTAAACCTGAAAATACCTGTAAGGATACCTAAGGGAAATTTGTTCTTTTCAATGTCTCAGTACAACTTTCATAATTGTTTTCTTTGTTTTGGTATTTTTACCATGCTTAATTTCTTAAAAAAGGTCAAATGTCTTAAGATGAGGAAGAATTATAATTTCTGGGTACCCATTTTTTTATTATTAACGTCTTAAATCAGCCTCCAAAGAAGATGTCATGAGCATATGCTTATATCAATTAGGGTCATTGCTTAGGCTGCAAAAATTGTACTCTAAATGTTTTATTGAAAAGAGATTTAAATTTACTCAGGGCAGTGGTTTCTGTGAAAGTGCCTATGGAAATGATAGCCTTCCCAGTGTCAAATATTTTCAACAGATAGATATTTTGATTATAATTGATATTAAGCTCGTATGTGCAGTTCAGGTTTCAAAACATTACTTATCCTTTCTTCATTTCTTGAAAAAGAATGTAACATCCCTTAACTATATGGACTTTACGTAAACTTCAGCTTGCTGTGGTGAAACGTTAAAGGCTAGCACACATGCTATATATTCGCATACATGTATTTACTACATTTTGCAAGGATGAACATGCGAAACAGGTGATCACATAGATGCCCTTCCTGTGATCCCAGCAGCACTCTTTCCTGGCCATGACAATTGTGTAAACTGCTGTGAGTCATATGTGAGATGACAAACGTTTTCCCATGTAAACTTGTGTGTGAGGATGATGGGAAATGTTTACATGGAGAAAATCTTGCTCTTTTCAAAAGGGGAAAAAAAGTTCAACTACTGACCGGGATTATACTACTCTACTATAATAAAAAAGTACAATGAAAGATCCAGTATTGTGTCACAAAAATATGGCCAGTATGTAAGTAGATTTCTTGACTGTTCATTTTTTTTTTAGGTGTATAAAGCTCTTCTGGTTTCCTATCTTTTTTTTGTAATGTTTGGTTGTTAGCACATAAAATTTCTTACGTGAATAATTTCAAATAAAATCCAGTTTAATAAATACACATTCGTTTTATGAATTCTTCGTCATCAGATGTTTGAGCTAAACTGAAACTGAAGTTTGGCGTGGGAGCTCCCCCCACCCATTTAAGGAAATTAATGAGATATAACCATAACATCCGAATAACCTGTTTTTGTGAACTGTGGAACAACCTGATTTTCAGAGAGAGAGACGCCTGGTCTTAACTGAGTTAATAAACCTGGGTCTGGGCTACGCTAGCTCAGATTGTAAGTGGTGGGAAAAAATTGTGGGGTCGATGCGTCACCATACCAAAAATAAATAACCCTCCACACAGTAAACTTGAAGTTGAGGGAAAGGGTTCTAACTTAGTGATCTCCTTGACGTGCAAGTTTTTTATGTCAACGGTGAGTTTTAGAGAAGTTTGCCATACGATGCCCATCTCACCTGCAATGGTACACCCCAGAAACAGGTTTAGCACTCAAAGAGAGAACTAGTATACAGTTTCTCTGAAAAACCATCAGTGAAGTAGCACTTCTCAGTTTCTGGTGGTTGTTCCAAGAACTAACAAGTGCTTTTCCCTCCTGCTTTATAACCAGATGTTACTGGTGAAGAACAATAAATTGGGGGAGAGGGGAGACCAGAAAGAGATTTGGATTCTGTATAGAAAGCCTGTTCTAACCTCACAAACCTGGAGTCCTCCGGTAGGGTTGCCGTATTTCAAAACTGGGACACCCCAAAAGTTGTTTTACCCAAAACGGCAAAATAACACAATTTTTAGATTGACTTGTCTAAAATCCAGGACAAAGTGCCACCTTTCAGAAATATTCCCCTCGTCAATTGTGCTGTATGTGTGTGTGTGTGTGTGTGTGTGTATACATACATACATACATACAAATAAAATCAGGAGATGAGCGGCTCAACGTGGAGCTTTTAAAGAACATTCAGCCAGACCCAGAGACTTGCCCCTGGTGAAAAGGTGATTTTTGGAATCCACGTATTGTTGGGGAGGCTAGCTAGTTTTTCAAAAAAGACATTTTTATTCGGTTTTCAATTCAAAACAGTAAAGAGCGACAGAACATTGTCAAGAGACCCGAGAAATCAAGGGGCGGAGGAAGGAGCGGAAGAGGAAAATCTGTCAGGATGGCAACACAAGATTAATTTGCTTTTAAATGTGAAACTTAAGAAATATGTACATAAAGGCATTCACTGTATTTTCAAAGCACGGGGATGCAGAATGAAAGCAGGTAAAATGTGGTTTGTATGCTCAATTAGGAGACTAACAATTTCCATTTAAAATTGGGGTGGGTGGTTTCATTGCGTGTTTCATTGTTAACAAAAGCAGTAAGATCGTACAATATCAATGCAAAACTGTCCTTGCTTTGTCCCCTAGCCACTTGGAGTTTGTAAGTTAATTTTTTCCAGAAGGGATATTTCCTACACTTTGGTATACCAAGTTTGTACGTTCACCAATGTCTAGCCATAATTGCTCTTGCCACTTTTGGTAGTTATGACACTAACTCTTTGCAGTGCAGGGTGTAGTTTTCATCTTCAAAATAGTTAAGCAGAGTTAGCTGGGGAGATGGGGAAAGCTCTTTGCCTATAATTTTACTGATTTCCTGAAATACTTGAATCCAGAAAGTTTGGGCCTTTCCATATTGCCACCAAAGATGGAGGCAAGTCTCCACTGCAACCCCACCAGTATCTCAACGAGAAAGATATCTGACGGCTTACAAGGTGTCATAGACCATTTGTGTATTAACGTTAACTCCTTGTTTCTTGGCGAGATTGATTTTAAAGGAAGACAACTCCATAATTTGGTCTACTGTTCTTCCATCAAAGATGAACTCAAGAGCTTTTCCCCACATCGGCTTGATTCCGTTTAAACTGCTTGAATGTGGGACTTAATTAGTTGCTTATCAGTCAATGCTTACAAGAACATGAGAACTTAGAAGAAAACAGAAGTAACCGTTCAGAGGAAGGAGACAGGAAGGTGATAGTCCAAATTGCTCCACTTCCTCACAGTGCTGATGCAATAAGGTCTCCGGTGAAATATTTCCAAGCTAATTTTATTTGCATCTTCACATACTGCCGCTTTTTTTTGCTTGGTTTGTTCACCTGTATGTTTCTGGGCACTCATGACCTATAAAGCCCTACATAGCTTAGGTCCAAGCTATCTGAAAATCTGTAATCCCTCATACAATTTTCTGTTTTACAATTTAAAACACTCATTTTACATCCTTAGGATATCAATGACTTCCCTTCTTCTCTTTCCATGGTTCATTTTACACATGATAAATCCCTGCATATTTTACAAAAACTATACCATTCAGTGTTCCATTACTGCATCCATCAAAACTTGTTTACATTGTTGAATTTATCTTAATAAATTCCTTTGGCAATCCTGACAGAACTCTAGCCCAATGGTTGCCATTAATCTGATTTGAATTGATTTTATAATGAAATGATTTTAGAATGTTGTATCATTTTAATGTTGTTAGCTGCTCTGAGCCCGGCTTCGGCTGGGGAGGGCGGGATATACGGTAAACAAAATTTTATTATTATTTATTATTAATGCTGCCAGTGTTTTCATCTGTACACAATTATTTCCCATATATTCAATAAACGTTTTCTAATCCTCTTTAGACGTATGTTCTTCTTGTTCTCTTATTCTATATGTTAAGTCTGCAAGTTGTGCATATTCTGTCAACTTAAGGTGCCATTCTTCTTTGGTTGGGACCTCACTTGTTTTCCATTTTTGGGCTAACGAAATACGGGCCGCTGTAGTGGCATACATAAATAACCTTTTTTGACACCTGTGAATTTCAGTCTGAGAGGGGGTTTCTCAGTGGCAGCTGCCAGACTTTGCCACTCCCTCCCTGGAGAAGCCAGACTGGGTCCCTCCTTGCTGTTCTTTGACTGACAGGTGGAAACCTTTTTGTTTCAACCGGCTTTTGGGAACCGACTGCTTTTAATGAAAGGGCTGGTGCTTTGCTGTTTTCATTGTAACCATTTGTATGGTTTTAATAGATTTTAATACATTTTATCTCACAGATAAGATAAATGCATGTGGACAGGTCTCTCAATGGCTACCAGCTAACTGAAGCTTACCTCTGCATAGCAAATGCTTGCAAATATATATTGGTGGGAGAGAGCAGTTTTATTTGTGTCATTATTTGAGGGCTTCCTAGAGTCACCAGGCTGACCACTAATGGAAAAAGGACATGGTGCCAGATGGTACTTTGGTTTGATCCAACCAAGCTCCTGTGTTCGAATGCTGCTCTTACGACCTTATGGTTAAAAGCTCTTGCAATTAGGGTGACTTCCGTCTTCTGCTACATTTTTAGCCATAGCCAGAGAAGATAAAACCAGTGAGGGATGCAAATCAACCGCCCCTCAACTTGTATTGACATGGAACATCTCAAGTGTGTCGCAGGCGCACAATCAGCACACTAACCACAAGTAAATAACTTCTTACAGGGAAAGCTATTTGAGTCTTGGAACTTGATTTGCATCCTGATTTGCCAAACATATACTAATTCTTATTTATACTTTTCAAATTTATACATTTCACTAATTTTACAATCACATAGAGAGTCTCCCACTCTGCCAATCCTCAAACATTCTACACTCTTTCACTCAGTGATAATGGTGGGAAGTATGATGGAGAAATGTGCTAAGAGGAAGGCACGCTTGGCAAACCCTCACCATGATCAACTCCTGCCCAGAAACCTATGTCCCCACTGTGGAAGGACGTGTGGATCGAGAACTGGCCTCCACAGTCACTTACGGACTCACTGTTAAAACCGTGTTCATGGAAGACAATCTTACTCAGTTACAAGTGTTTGCCAAACAAGATAGATGATAGATAGAGATAGAGATAGAGATAGATGATAGATAGATAGATAGATAGATAGATAGATAGATAGATAGATAGATAGATGATAGATAGATACTGCCTTATAAGATGCAATACATACAAGATACAATATATATAGAGAGAGAATGATTTCCAAGCTTTCACTATACAGTGGTGCCCCGCAAGACGAATGCCTCGCAAGACGAAAAACTCGCTAGACAAAAGGGTTTTCCGTTTTTTGAGTCGTTCCGCAAGACGAATTTCCCTATGGGCTTGTTTCCTTTTTCTTAAAGCCGCTAAGCCGTTAATAGCCGCTAAGCCGCTAAGCCGTTAATAGCTGCTAAGCCGCTAATAGCCGTGCTTCGCAAGACGAAAAAACCGCAAGATGAAGAGACTTGCGGAACGGATTAATTTCGTCTTGCGAGGCACCACTGTACACCATATTTTATATTTTACAAAATGGCGGGGCATGTACATACCCTCTCTCTGTATGCACAGATTATTATATATCCACCAGTACTTACTATCATAGGTAAGTAGGTAAAAAGTAAAGGACCCCTGGACGGTTAAGTCCAATCAAAGGCGACTATGGGGTTGCAGTGCTCATCTTGCTTTCAGGCCGAGGGAGCCGGCGTTAGTCCACAGAAAGAGGACCAGTGGTTTAGACCACAGTATATGTCCTACCTATATAATCAAAGCTGCACTCAGGAATGAATCATAGAATCTTAGAGTTGGAAGGGACCCCGAGGGTCATCCAGTCCAACCCTCAGCAATGCAGGAATCTCTGCTAAAGCATCCATAACAGATGACCATCCAACCTCTGCTTGGAAACCTCCAAGGAAGGAGAGTCCACCACCTCTCGTGGGAGTCTGTTCCACTGCTGAACAGCTCTTACTGTTTTTCCGAATGTTTAGTCGGAATCTCCTTTCTTGAAGCCATTGGTTCGAGTCCTATCCTCCAGAGCTGCAGAAAACAAGCTTGCTCCATCCTCCATGTGACAGCCCTTAAGATATTTGAAGATGGCGATCATATCTCCTCTTGGTCTCCTCTTTTCCAGGCTAAACAAACCCAGCTCCTTCAAGTGCTCCTCATAAGGCTTTGTTTCCAGACCCTTGTTCATCTTGGTTGCCCTCCTCTGCACATGTTCCAGCTTGCCAACGTCCTTCTTAAATTGTGGTGCCGATT